TGACTTCGCTGTGCTCGAGTCGGGACAAGATTTGAGGAAGAAGCTCAGCCACTAGTGGACTTGCGGATTTGTTTTGACATTGGCCGTTTTTGGATAGCTCGGTTCTCCTGCCGACGTGTCCTGGAGATGAAGACGCGGGAGAGTAATCCGTCACCCACGACGCGGCCTCTCATTCTGCGTACTGGACGATGCAAGAAGCCGAGGAGGGGGACGCTTCGCAAACTCAAACGATCGATCGAGTTCCTGAAAAACGGAAAGGGCGATCTCCATCACTAACGCCACTGGATTCGACTCCCGCGAAGAGGTCGTTCAGTGCCCCTCTTCACGGTCGACGAATCGTTCATCTCAGGTATCTGGCTGTGGGATTGTCTGCGTGCCAGAATCCTGGATGTGGCAAACCTCTGGCGCTCATTGATTGCGTTGAAGAGAAGAGGTACGACCTGGGCAGCGTACTTGTCATTCCGTGTCAGCAGTGTGGGATGGAGAATTTTATAGATACAGATAGCCCTGTAACTGCTCAACACCCTGGCCCCCGTGCTTCCACAAGCAACACCAAAGCTGCTTTGGGTAAGTGCGTTTTTCAATCTCATAAGATTTACTCATGATATTTGGGAGTCATTGGCACCCTATGGCTATGGAAATGTATGAGCACACTGTATGCGCGGCGGCCGCGAGCGTGTGTGTGTTTGCATAGACCTGCATGTTTGTGCATGTGTGCACCATATGCATGTATGAACATGCACATGCATATGCGCTCATGTGGACGTGCCCTCGCACACATACTATACACGCGTGCATGACCGCTCCCAGGGCATGTTGGTGTTACATGTGTGGCGGGCATCTCCACTCATGCACATGAGTTTGCACATGCATGTGGGTGGGTACGCACACGTGCGTGAATGTATGTGTGTGTACGCGCGCGTGTGTTCTATTGCGTGTGAGAGCATGCATGTGTGTGTGTGTGCGTGTGTGTGTGTGTGTGTGTGTGTGTGTGTGTGTGTGTGTGTATGTGTGCACGGATGTGTGTGTCGATGGTGTGCATTTTTGTGATTGGTGAACACTCTGATCCCTAAACCGATATACCGGAGCTCCCAAGCTACAGCCTCAGATTGATTTATAGTTCATCGTTGGGAATGAGTTCGCTGCTCATGATGCTGTTGCGGATGTTACGGCCCTAGCTGAAATTGTCGAAGCTCGCCCTGATGCCAGTATCCTGTAGCACTCTGTCACTTTTGCATCAGCATGTTCGGCGATGGAGTTTGCAGAACATCAGCAAAAGCGGCAGGCCACCCTTCAACCGTTGGTCCAAGCAACGTGCTTCTCTAAATCAGTTGCAGTGCGGGCAGCTGCCAGTGGGTTGGTGATGAAGCACTTTGTCTTGTCCTACAAACGAAGTGGTGAGCCAGCCATTTCCAGACTGATGAAGGAGCAAGTCGGAGGTAAGAAGCGGGTGACAGTCTCAAGGAAGATTATATTAGTGGTGGCTGAACACCTAGCGAAGAACCAACAGCAACCCAACTGTAAGGAACGCCCTGTGGCACAGTGCTTCACTTGTTTGTGCGCACCGTAAAATACCATCATTTTTGCCAGTGTGGGGACACGTTCTAGCTCGCATAGTTGAAGAACAAGAGGACTCAATGTTGTCTGATTCGTTCCAACATGTCAGCTTTCATCGTAGTTTGATATGGGGCAGTGCTAAGCGCTTTCATAGCTACATGTACATGTATCACAACCAAGTGCCAACAGGAGAGTAATCATGGAGAAAGGTACCTATCGATAATGCGTGCACCCAGGGTTTTCCGGCAAATTTACTAGTTCAGCTATTCCATCCTTGTATTGTTCTGAACGCCGAGAGCTCTAGTGAGTTTATGCAACACCTATTAACAGCCAAAAATCCAATAAGTTATGACCAAAGCAGCAGCAGAGAAGTACAAGCAATATAGATACGTGAATTTACCCATTTTAGGCAAATTTTGACAGTTTTTTGGATTTTTCTCCAGAATATGCACGGTGACCCCTATTTTCGCCGCGGTAAACCTGTTCCAACCCACTTATAGAACGTGTTTGAAGTATCCACATATGGGGCAAACTCAAAAATAAGCTGCAAAAAATATTCAAAGTTTCATTTTTTGCGTCTTTTTGTTCTTCTCCAGGAAATGACGACCTGGATCCCATCATCAACCAAAGTGTACATTTTTCGGTGTTGATATCATCTCAGTCAATACCTCGAACAGTCTGTAAAATTTTATGTCATATTTTCTGTCCTAACTGATGTTATGGTCGATTTCTCATCAATTTTGGGATTTTGTGTTATTTTGTGTCATCAAGGAAAATTGTGTTTTTGGCAAGACCTATTCGGGTAATTGAAAAACTGATGTTACTAAGCGAAAATATAAGGCTGTACCTATTCAAACCTGATGTCAGATTGGGCTGATGTTGAAATTAAATTTTTGGGGCTAACTGTCCCGAACCCCCTTAAAAAGGTTTTTCTGGAGGCTGTGACAGTTGGACTTGCAAACAAGCATGGTTTCTTTTCCTCAAATAGCGGGGAGCAGCAAGTTGGAACAAAAACAGCACAGTGTAGTCACTTCACACCATGGAGCATTAAAACACCGGTACTTGCTGTTCCTTGCTTCACTCTCAGCTCCCCCCCCCTCCCGCGCGCTCGGGTCACGCAGCTGTTGTACGGTTTAAAAGGTGCCGAAAATGTCTGCATGTACAATCCTGTTCAAGACTGATATACAGTATAGCGTGTAGAAAACATGTGTGATGAACCTATTCAGTACATGATTGTACAAGTACAGTGCACTCATCGAAACACGGATGAACGAGGTTACGTTTACTGCGGGCACTTTGTGATACTTTTTATCCTGCTTTTATTTGAGCGTTTTGCGAACATAGTGCGGCAAACTCTAGCTGCTTTGTTTGCGAGTTTTGCGATACGGCGTTACGCGCCTGCTCATGGAATCCAATTCACCACACCACCACATTGCGCTTTTGGTCGATCCAAACTCTGCACTCACATCACCATCACCACAGCGAGGACAATTCCGGTATAATATTATAGATTGATATTGACAATGACCCTACAGACAATTTATCCCTATAAAGATCAGTCTATTCTTATTATTCTTTCATTGAACATCGTATGCCTCCACTGATGTGCTCAGGAGGAGCGAAACAGCTGTCTGGAGGGTCGTTGTCAAAATCAATCCATATACCGGAATTGTCCTCGCTGTGGTGATGGTGATGTGAGTGCAGGGTTTGGATCGGCCAAGAGCGCAATGTGGTGGTGTGGTGCATTGCATTCCATAATGGCCGGGTCGTCGCTACTTCTTCTCAACTACGTTGATACTTGCTTTTAAATCGCCTAGGAGGCATTACCAAAAAAGACCGAACTATCTGGGTTTTACCTTTTTGACAAATTAAATTGAGCCACCTTGCATGCCTGAACATACAGTATCAAAATATGACATTTTTCGTACATTAATTTTAATAGTAGTGTTTATTGTCTCAACGAATATGGGGACACCCTGTGTTTTATTTGGCAAACCTGTTCCTTTCCATGAAAGGATCCCATAAACCCATGTTCATAAAGATATTACGTTGGAAATCATGTGAGAAATTACTTTCTTTTCTCCTTTTTCAAGGAAAAGCGCAGCTTTGCATTTTGCAATTTTCGGTGGGGTGCTTAGTCCCAATGACATTTTCCTACTTTCTTTACAATCCAAACCGAGTCGGTTTGTATTTCCGAAAGTTTCAATGCAATGCTGCAAAAGATTATAAAGATAATACTTATAGTAGAAAATGTGCAACCACCCAGCAATGTCCGTAAAAATTAGGGGTGGAAAAATGGCTGAAGTTGACAAAATGGATATGGGGACCACCATTTTTTATTTCAGGATTTGAAACCTAAGGTACCTAAGACTCCAAGCAATCTGTTCACATCAAAATATTATGATTATAAAATTTTGCCTTAACTGTCCCAAACCTCCTTAACATGACCCTGGCGTGTACGCTTGCTTCGCTCACTGTACTTTTACGTTGATGCTTGTCATGTCTACAGGAAGTGTATTCCTTATAGATGGTGCCTTCCAGAAAGCTCAAGATTGTGAAAATCGATCTACAAGTTATTAGTGGATTTATTCAACTTATCGTGGGAGAAGTATGTGCAAGAATGCCAATTTCACATTCTCCGAGATCAGTTCTAGTCCTTAAAGATTGGGAAGAGAAAAGATGGCCATGATGTCCCTCCTCATGGCATGAAGCTCCGCGCTGTGCGTGCCACCAATTTTGACAAATGGACTGCTGAGCGCGACAAGGACCTTTCGACATGGAGTATGAGAGATGTGAAGATGCTCGCGCAGGGGTGAAGTGGTTAGGTGAAAGGGTTCTGTGCGGTTTCCAGAGAAAATTTGTTCGTTCAAAATCTTCCCAGCGTCTTTTATCGTTGGGTCGAGAATTTTATAAATGTTGGCTTTCAAAGACTTCTGCGGCAAAATGGTATGTCCGTGAGGTGTCAGGACATTACGTCAGAACGACCATGATTTCTTATCATATGGCCTGGAACACGAAACGTGCACATGTGCTTGGTTACAAGCCCGGGGGGGGGGGGGGGAGGGGGCAAAATTCAGAAGAGGGCTATATATTTTTTCACGTGCTCTTAGAGACTGGGGCACTCTTCAACATAAAGCACTACTCTAATTTCAGAAATTTTCGGTGCTCAATTTTTTCGGTATGAGGGCAAAAGGCCAGGTTAGGTGAACAGAAATTTTCGGTACAGAGAAGCAGTTCCCCATGGGAGTATGCGTGTTAGTGTTTGTTCGGTGTATTGAATATTTTAGGTATGAAACAGCTCCACCGAAAGTACCGAAAATAAAAGCACACCGAAAATTTGTGAAATTACAGTATTCAAGAGAGGGCTCTAATCGCGAAAGTACGGTAATCCTTCTTTTCTGCTCCTACACAAACAAGCATGCACCAGGGATATCCTGACTTACCGGATTTTTCGCTTCCAATGGGTGTCCAGCATTAAGTAGATGTTCTAGTACGGACACATGACCTCCGTATGCTGCAAAGTGGAATGGTGTACTACCAGTCTGGAAGTAGCATCGTTAATGAATACAAACCATGTACACACAAACACACACAAACACATAAACATACATACATACACGCCGAGACATTTGAGGTCGGCAGAGCAGCCTGGCCCCGCCACCACTTCTCCCACTTCTCGCACATATTCGGGAATATAGTGGACTTTCGTAAAAAAAAAATACACATGCAGATTCATACACATGCTCACATACACGCATGTGCGCACATGTGCATGCACAGACATGCACACAAACACACACACACTCATACATACATACACACACAGACACACACACATACATGACATACACACACACACACAAACACACACACACACATTTAGGGAGCATCTCAGGTTCGCATTTTTTTCTCAACGGAAGGCATTTCGAAACGGGGGTAGCGCCCTTTTCGAATAGAAAAAAGACAGTTCGCACATTTTCTGGAAGTGTACAATACTGTGCTGTGCATGTGCTAGATCGCTTCAGATGACTGTGTTTACATGGTTTAGGTATGGATCTACCTGTGTTTGCAGATCAGCTAACCCTTGCTCTGCATGCATGCAGGCTCCTCAGAGGTGTCCAATGTCACACCAGCCTGATCAAACCGTGTACCTGGCCTGCATTTTATACAGCAGTACATTGACATTGTACACTGTACATGCACAGCTGTTATGGAGAGGGGAATTGGAGGAACTACATGTACATTTATATGTGTGTACATGACCATTGATGACTACATGTCATTGATTGTTCTTGTACTCAGTAATGAATGCAACTACTGGATGCACTACAGTACTTCACCAGCAAAACATTTCAAATCCATGTACATACCCAATGCTGTACACATGTACATACCATAGCATGAGGCATGGACATGTACAGTAGATCTACACAGAAAATGTGCGATAAGACCTTCGAATAGAGGGGGGAGGTGGGGGGGGGGGGGGGTAAAGTCTATTGGAAATGCGCTACGTTTGCAAATAAAATGCGAACTTATGAGATGCTCCCTTAGTTAGTAAAGGCAACACCGGCACTTGCATAGAGAGTTCCACATCCTTATCGATGAAGAACTCATAGAGAACTGATGCCTTTCTACAGTGAAACCTGTGACTAACTACCACCCTTAGGGCCAGAGCAAGTGGTCTTTAGTGGCAGGTGGTCCTTAGCTACAGGTTTGCACCACCCAACCATACAGTATATGAATGTGAGTCCTTCCGTCCCTGGCGAAGTTGCCTTTAGTGCCAGGCTGGTCGCTAGTCAGGGTGGTCTTTAGTTACAGGTTTCACTGTACTTAGCATCTGAGAAGGGTTGGTCTTCAATTAAGTTGGTTATGGGCTTTGAGCAGTGTCAGCTCCAGTGCCGGTTCAAGCAGGTCAGCGACCCTGTTGGGGGGGGGGGGGTTACTTGGACCCGTTTGAAAAAAGAATTATTAACGAGAGAGCTTGGAAGCTCAGGGCCCTACGCTATGCTTTTATGCCTAGCTCATCATGCTTGTTATTAGAACTGATGGAAATGTTTTTTCCATTGATTGGTTACATCATTGTATTGCAAAAACATTTCAATCGGTTTGAATATGAGTTACGCAAAAGTAATTGCAGAATTTATTGGAACTCGGGTATTGAGCCAATAATAAAAGTAGACAGGAAAAGGACATATGGAGACGAGTTAAGAGTAACTCTCCACCACGGTAACTAGATACTATATACAGTCAGAAAGTGCAACAAATAGGCACAAAACTGACAGAGTACTGAGACATTCGACGTCCTGACACTTAGCTTCAACACATCTCCGTAGCGCTATCCGACAGCCTTCCAACTTTGAAGGTTCAAGGTTATGGAAAGACCATAGAGGGGAAGGCAAGCGCAACGAAAACGAGCACAAGCTACAGTCCCAACGGAACAAAGAATGTCGATTGTCACTGGATGATGACGAGACCAGTAGGCGATTTGACAAAGCGGTTAACTACAATTCAAAGCAGCAAAGCAGCACACCACCCAACTTGGGTGGGTCAAAAATATCAAAGATAAGTTAAGAAGGGGGAAGCTTTGCGAGAACGAATTGTACAAGCCGAAATCTAAACTCCTACAGTACTCCTCATGCATGACATTGTGATGGACTAGTTGACTACAAAACAAGTTGTTTCACACGACGTACGTTTCGCCGTATGGTTCGTGACGGCTCATCAGGTGTGCAATTTGAAACTCGGGTATTGAGCCAATAATAAAAGTAGAAAGGAAAAGGACATATGGAGACGAGTTAAGAGTAACTCTCCACCACTGTAACTAGATACTATATACACTTTCTGACTGTATATAGTATCTAGTTACAGTGGTGGAGAGTTACTCTTAACTCGTTTCCATATGTCCTTTTCCTTTCTACTTTTATTATTGGCTCAATACCCGAGTTTCAAATTGCACACCTGATGAGCCGTCACGAACCATACGGCGAAACGTACGTCGTGTGAAACAACTTGTTTTGTAGTCAACTAGTCCATCACAATGTCATGCATGAGGAGTACTGTAGGAGTTTAGATTTCGGCTTGTACAATTCGTTCTCGCAAAGCTTCCCCCTTCTTAACTTATCTTTGATATTTTTGACCCACCCAAGTTGGGTGGTGTGCTGCTTTGCTGCTTCAAATTGTAGTTAGACCGCTTTGTCAAATCGCCTACTGGTTTCGTCATCGTCCAGTGACAATCGACATTCTTTGTTCCGTTGGGACTGTAGCTTGTGCTCGTTTTCGTTGCGCTTGCCTTCCCCCCTTTGGTCTTTCCATAACCTTGAACCTTCCAAGTTGGAAGGCTGTCGGTTAGCACTACGGAGATGTGTTGAAGCTAGGTGTCAGGACGTCGAATGTCTCAGTACTCTGTCAGTTTTGTGCCTAGTTGTTGCACTTTCTGACTATATATAGTATCTAGTTACAGTGGTAGAGAATTTATTGGGTTATATCAACTTTCTCTTTGCATTCGAGGGTAATACGACACTGTCTACCACCTTGATGACCTAGGCGAAAAAACATAGAGATGTATGTATTTTTCATTTCTCCAACTGAAGTATTTTTTTCAAGATAATATAACCTAGGATTCGAACCCGCACGATCGTCCTGCATGCATTATCCCGATACACTTCGCATACATACTCATTTTTCCAAGTTGCTTCACGTTATGATCCTGCATTTGAAACCCCTATTTGAATATTGTGGCCAGCTGTCTTTGATGGTACGGTACTGTGGGACAGGTACGGGATAGCGCCAGGCATCTTTTCCGTTCGCCCTTCTTCCGCGACAGCTTGATCGCCTTTCATCTCTGGTGCAGGTGTAATCTAGTGGCTTTGTACATGTGTTATAATAGACGAATCCCTTTTTCTGGGCTCGTGAAAAGGGCCACGCGTGCAAGTCAGCTCGGGTGAAGTGCATGGTTTTGTATTTAGTTGGTATGTGGCAGCGTATGGGACAGAGCGACTTTTGCTCCCCGAGCTTGTATATGTGTACGTAGATAGTGTTTTACGTCCACCATGTCGGCTACAATGCCCAACCATACCACGACGATCTGATCGGCTACATCATTGTACAGTAAATAGTGGATATAACGTGCCCCTTTGATTTTCGATAATTTATCACTGTATCCGGTGCATCACTATAGCCGATTTGCATGTATGACTGACACATGGCACATGACTGTGCATGAAATGATGCGTACACGCTGGAAAAAGCATGAAAAGCAGCCACGTGTACATGTGGCTGCGTACAGCATACAGGGAAGAATTTTCTCTCAATCACGTCTGCTGCCAGATGCATCCAGGCAACACTGGATCAGTTTTGGAAGAAATGAACTACATTTGAAGAACAATTGTTTTGTGATCCTCATTCTTGATCAGTATATACGATATTTTCCTGGTCATTTGATATGGTTTGCTTCCTGAAACCCATCACAATAAGCGATTTATCGGTATAACCGATAATAGTGTGTATAGTGATATTTTAGAATTACAGATGGAGCGGACTCGCTCCCTTCTATTACACTGCAACGTTCGAACACATTTTCGTAGTTAAAACAACGTTTCGGCATATAGCCCTCATCAGGTTTGCAAACCTGATGAGGGCTATATGCCGAAACGTTGTTTTAACTACGAAAATGTGTTCGAACGTTGCAGTGTAATGGAAGGGAGCGAGTCCGCTCCATGTGTAATTCTATATGAAACTGCAGGAGGCCTCACCGCTTCTAATCTAGTGATATTTTAGCTGTATTTTTTTGTGATTTGATTTTGATTTTGGCGAGTTCTATCATTATAGCCGGTATATCGTTACACCCGGTCACTTTATAAACCATACTCACTGTACTGCAAACATTTTCCATCTGTTCGAATAGCATGCATGATGAGCCAGGCAAAAAAGTATAGCAAAGGGCCCTGAGCGAAAGAAATAAACTTTCTCTTTGCATTCCAGGGTAATACGACACCGTCTATCACATTGATGACCTAGGCAAAAAAGCATAGGGATGTTATACATTTTTCATTTCTCCTACATTCTTCCAAGTTGCTGCACGTTACGATCTTGCATTTAAAAGCCCTATTTGAATATTGTGGCCAGCTGTCTTTGATGGTACGGTACGGGACAGGCACGGGATAGCGCCAGGCATGCTGACGGCACAGACACCCAAACATGGAATTAAAGCTGTGTGGACCCTGGCTAGCGCCAGACGTTACTGAAATACCGTCTTTTGCATAGCTTTGGGAATAAATTGAGAATATAGGGTAACTACATAAAAGCTGTGCTATTACTCGTTAGCTTTGTACTGCAATCAAGACTGACGTTATGCGCTTTGCTTTGCTGCGTAATTACAATGACACCGAGCCTGTTTTGATGAAAAGAAAACAAATCTTGCTTCCCCCGAATAATCCAGCTGGTGCACAGCCCGAATAACGATAGCCAGCTAATTGTCGTTGAGTCAGATGACGCGAAGCAGGTGTGTCACAAAGTGCACGATACAGCTACCTGGCTCGAGGCC